GCCGGGCCAGCCCAGCCCGACCCGCGCGGCGCCTCGCATCAACATTCAAACGCCTAATCTCTCAATTTGAAATGGAAGGGTTGTGGGGTCTCGGGGGGGCTTAGAAGAGCGTGGGCTCGGCTGGAGCAGGGGGCCGTGAGCTGCACACCGACAGGGAGAAGATGCCCGAAATAACGTGATGACAAAACACGACCGGACTAAAATATTTTGCAGAATTTAAAAAAATAAAATAGGATAAAAACACAAGTTTTGTCATTGCAGCTACGTAGCTAGCTGTCGGGAGAGTTAGAAGGAACATAAAGATTACTGTACGGCCGCACGGAGCTGTCGGCTGTCCCTCTCACAAGCGGTTAATTGGCGCAGAGGCACTCGGCCGATTGCCGATACTCGTCCATTCAAGCCTTCACTGCCGAGAGGCTGTAGTGCCGCCTCTCGCTCAACGGGTTAATCACTCTGCACACTGCCGACAGAGAGAGAGAGAGAGAGAGAGAGCGCCTCCGATGGGAGAGAACAAAGGTGTCGTCCTCTGGGGAAGACGAGCACGACTAGGGAAAAGGGCGAGGAATAGAGAAATACCAACTCCACTCGCCAGTCATTTAAAGACTGTAGACGGAGGAAAGGGGGCTTCGGGGGTAAACGGGGTGCAGAAACATGGTTAAACATTTGCTTAAGAGAGACGAAAATTATTTTTAGATAGATAAATTATTTTAGGCACCTACCCCGTTTCTTTCCCTCCCCTTCACCCTGTTAATGTGGGTTGGGAGGGTGTGCTGTCGGCCTCCTTCCTTTATATCTAGGATTGATCCATTATAATACCCTGCGAGTTTAGAGTGTGCACTGTTCACACTCTAAACTTTTTACTGGAATATTTGCGTGGTAATTAGCGTGTTTTTTTTTTTACATTAAATGTAAACGCGCTGCATGAGAAGAGGGCAGGAAAAAAAGGGGCTCCCCACCGACACTAAAAGTAAGAGACAGTTTAATCTATGATGAATAAACGTTCAAGCAGCAACGTTCATAAGTGCTGTCAAGCAGTAAAGCACGAGGATTGTGGCAGGTAGTTACGAGTTGGGAGTTGGGGCCAAAGTGGATTTCGTTTAGGCACAGCAGTAGGTTTTAATATGAGAATAATATAACGCTCCAGAGGTGAATATATTCACTATTCAGTGGCGGGAGAGGCCTGACCATACCAGAGGAACGGAGGAAGAGGGCACAAAGGCGGTATGGGTCCATCGGCCTAGTGTAAGGCAGGGGGTGGGAGGAGAGGGAGATGGAAGCCCAAAGAAAGGCCTGGGAAACGCCATCGTGCTTTGCATGCGACGTGTACTCCGGCCGCAATGTACAGCGGCGCGCGGCCGAGCGTGGTACGCGAAAGAAACTCGAAAAAGAAATAACGTCATTACTCGAAAGGGACAATCATCATCCGGTATGCAGAGCGGGCCCCGCGATGACGGCGCCACTCGGCGCCACGCCACGCCACGCCGCAGCGACGCCCCCCGAATGAGCGATCAGAGGCGCCCCGGCCACGTCATGGAAATACGGACATCACATTCCATTGGAGCGCGCCATTCAATTACTTGCCGGCGCCCCCGCGCCATCTCGGATGCCACCGGAGCAGGGGCGGGCCTGACCATGCGGGGTAACAGCACAAGAGAAGAGAGGCGAACGACGACGTTGTACATCCATCTGACCAATATTTTTTAAGAATAACCTCTCACTTTCTGTTAGGTAATACTCCCTAGGAATGGAATTTATGAGCAATATTTTAATCCATATACGCTCTGATGCTCTTCAACCTTTGGACTGGCACCCTACAACTCAGTTATGAACAAAATAACTCAAATAGGTGCTGGTGGAGAATTGAAATTGAATTCAAACTTCCGTTGACTGTGGAAATTTGCGCTCAGAGAGTTTGGGAAAACCTGCACCGAAACCATTTAGTTCAAACTGAATTCATGGGTGACAATAAGACAGTGAGCAGTGTAACATCCTATGTTCACGCTCTGATCAAAACAAACACACTGCCTTGCTCTGACGGAACGTTTCATGGCAATGGCAGCCAGCTATCGCGCATATCCGTTATCCGTTCATCGCCACACCCGACTCGTAACTAGACAGACATTTCCACGTGAGCGCATCTCACTTCCGCTCGACGCTCCTCAATCCGTGGCGCGCAACCCAACCAGCCTCCATTGCGGAAATTATGCAAACATTTTACTAAGCTACAGCAAATACGCGTGTATTTTGTGGCAGCGACGAGAACCACGACAGAGAAAAGGGACACAGGATACAAGAAATGTGTGGAATACAGAAAGACGTGGAAATCTTTCAAAAGACTGCGATAAAAAAGCAACTTTCCAGAACTGCAGCATGGCTTTCAACAAAATGAAAATGCACGTACGAGCGTGGTTATTTTTAGCAATACGCCCCTTCACGCTCGTCAGGTGAGTGTGCGCACTAGGCCGCGCTCAAAGACTTCAAAGCAGTCATCACAGCGAGCACTGTTTGTGTCTCTGCGTTTGACAGGGCTGCAGGAAGGAAAAGGAGAGGGAGGGGGGAGGGTGTTGAAAATGGGGGATGGCAAGAAACCGGCCAACAGTGCCACATTTCGCGTGGGGGGTTCATAGATATACATCATCAGGAATGATAACATGTAAGCGGCGAGGGTGTGAGCCTTTTGTTTCCTGAGGAGGGTGCGTGCCGCTCGTAGGGTGGGACTGCGTCCCCCGCCGCGCCGCGCCACGCCCTCGCCCTACTTAGTCATGCACGCGACCCGATCGGACCCGGGAAACGCGGGGCGGGCGGAGGGGGAGTAGGTGAAGGGAGTGAGAGGAGAGGGGGCGGAGGGAGTGCAACGGCTTCCCCCTGCCCCGTACCAGGCCTCTGCCACCCCGACGCGCTTCGCACATCTCAACTCCCCAAAGAGCGATGCCATTTTCCGGATCGGCAGCGTTTTGCTCTGTGTACAATGCCGTCAGCACTC